GGGGGGGGGGGCATCGTCCTGACCTTTGTCAACTCGAAGGATCTCATTTGGGAATGTCGCGTTGTCTTGGGCAACTATTTCCAGGAATAGAAAAGGACACACACACACACACGTGAGGCTCGTCCAGAGCAGCAAGTGCCTGCGACTTGGACTGCGCAAAGCGAATCCTTGATCATCGACGAAAATAACTTTGGGATTGTTCCGTCGCCTTCTCATTAGGGACCTCTGCGCCCACAGGCCTAAAGAGACGATTCGGCAAGCCTCTTAGTGTCTCTTGGCGCTGGCATTGAAAGGACACATTCATCCATATATTCTTTCACGACTGCGACGTGCCAATAATTGGCAGTGGGATCACTCTTTCGTACAGGTGCGAAGAGAACAAGCGCATCTACCGACTATACACGCGATATAACGAAGGAGCACCTAATTGAGGCGTCTTATTGATATCGTGAAAGAAAAGAAAAAAAAAAAAATAATGGCTAAAGACGTATCGGCGTAGTCTTCTCTTGATGTTGCTCTCCGCTTCTTGAAAATTTATGAACCAAGTAGATCGCAGGGCCGAGATAAAGGCGAAACGATAAGAGACGTGTGCGTTATTGCTTGGAAAAAGAATCTTTATACGTTCAACCAGTGATAAAGCTCGTGCGCAAGTATCGGAGGACTTTGTGATGTGAATGACTTAGGATTCGAGTCGTCACAGCGACACATGTAGGTATTGCTGCATTCTTGTTGATTATTATGTCATCCGACGTGCCCTATAGAAGATTTGACTCGCAATCGGAAGATTGCGAAGAGTTAAGGAGGAATGGAAGAGGAAAATGAGGATTTTAAGAGGTCGAATGGCATACGTGAAAACGAGGGCCAGTGGCGCGTTGCCAAGAGTTAGATGCGCGCTAGGAGCGCCAAAAGTGCCAAGAACATCGTAATTTAATTTAATTATCAGGGCCTCATCGATCGCCGAGCGTGCATTAAGGACACGATTTGCGTCCAGGGACTTTGGGGCGTCTAAGTTTAGCCTTCGGCCGGGTCCGTCGTCAAGCTAAGCGACATAACGGCCAACAAGCACAGTTTCCGAGCTCGGTTTGCTCGCATAAAATAAAACAGTGTACTATCGGCGCTCCGTCGGTATGGATAACTCAATCTCGGGATTCGTTGGAAGATAAAGGACCAGAGTGCTGCCGTATACGGGCTAGATGTACTAGATGTACGTGCGGGATAGTCGTCCAGCAGGCTACACAGCTCGAATGAGTACCTAAAGTCTGGTGTTGCGCCGATCATGTGACCTCGTGCTTCCGACAGGCGTTGCCGCCCAACCTCCGGGAATTTGTGTCTCTCCGAGATATTTTCGAAATCGTTTTGTCATCAGCCGATCCTTCCTCGATCAACCTTTTTACTTAATTTACCAATGAGAGGAGCTTCGATGTCGCAGAAAAGATTAAGAAACGACTCACGAGAGTCCTTCCTTCCCTCCCTTCCCTCCCTCACTACCCTGACCACCCTCACCACCCTTACCACCCTTACCACCCTTACCTTCGGCCGCGACCTCACGATGCTCTTGGGCTGAAGACCGAAGACCGCAAAATTGCTCAACCTCCAGACTCTCTTCCTGAGGGAAATTCGCGAAATCAAATTACATAGTTTGTTAATATATAGTTGGACGAAATTGTAATCCGCTCGATCGGGCAGCCGCCAACTTCGACACGAGAGAAGCCGGGTCTCACGCTTTACCTTTTCTCGTCGATGAAAGAGGACACGGATTAATAAAAGATAATAGGCAGAAGTGCAAGAGTATATGGGTGCAATTGAAATCAATCGTATCCTACACGTGACAATGGGGCTACTGTTCTCCGCGCTGATAGGATGCGTCGGCATACTCGAACTTCTTGCCTGTTTGCGAAAGATCAAAGACGATCTCAAGAGCAGCCTCCATCCTCCCGCGGCACCGTGTCTCTCTTATCATGGCTCGAGATACGAAAGATTGAGTTCGCAGAATTCTCTCTGCAGCTGCAGTCACGTTGCTCGCAACGTCCAGCTGTCGCGGGGCGCCATCCGGAAGCTTGAAAATCTTCACGAGTACGGCCTGAGAGTGAAGAGCGAGCTGCGTTCCCTCGACGAAGACTTTGACGATGGGACCCTTTCGGACTGCAGCACCGGCTACGTCCTCGACGACTCCAGACCTGACTCTGCCCTCGGTCTCGAGGACTCCTCTCTCCCACTTCTCCTGGTTTCGCCTCCCGTCGACAAGTACGTCCGAATACCGACGCCCATACCGTTCGCTCTCGGCGAAGACATCTCGAGGTCCAGCTCCCTCTCGAATTCCTCCGTGGAGCGTGGAAGCTCTTTCGAGAACGAATCGGGAAACGAAGCTCCTACGCGGGAATCCTTCGACAAGCTACCGCCAGCAGCGAGCCTGAACTCTCTGAGCTCCTCCTCCTCTCTGTCCTCGCAATGCTCCACGTCCTCTCATTCTCATTCTCATTCTCAGTCCTCTCCGTCAGCTCCGTCAGCTCCGTCAGCTCCGTCTTCGAGGGCCCAACACGGCTATTATGGCTCCACGAATCTTGGGGATCACGTGCAGACGCATTTGTCGGAAGAGAACGAAGAACGAATATGCTATGGAAAAGTCCAGGGTGAGCCATTCTACTGGGAACCGGAAGAACAAGCGTCCCTGCTGATCGAGGGGCGCGCGCGAGTTGCCGAACCGTCCAAGTCTTCGAAATCGTCGAAACAGTCGACAACGATACTGCGAAAGGCTACGCGACTTAAGTCGCGAAACGCCGACGTCAGCAAGTCTGCCGAGAACCTGACGTCAACGAGAAAGTCAAGGCGACAAAGGGAACCGGAAAGACGCAAGTCCGATATTTCCGTGCAGACGGCCAATCGGGACTCCATGCGTGACGAGTCGACGAATACGTCGCCTCCGCTCAGCCCAAGTGTTTCCAGGTCTCATAGCAAAGAGAGCTTCTCGGTCGAGGTGCAAACTAGCTTCGACGATCAGGGCACGAAGGAGCATTATGTGTGCGATGGGGCAATCGCCTCCGGGAGTAAAGGGGATCTGACGTACAGGAAGAAATCGTCCTGGAGATCCTTAAAAGGAGAGCGTCCAAATGGAAAAGCGACGACAGCGCAGGATGACGCCTTGGACGCTGATTGGATGAACGTCGTTTGGATGGGCAACGCGATTCCGTCCTTTGAAGAAACCCAGAGCACGAAACTGCCTCCCAACGTGTCGCGTTTCAGGGAAGCTAATGAGAATGATTACGAGGCGGTGAAAGGCTACGTCGCACATTCGGAAGGCCGACGAGTCGCATGTAAAGACGATGCTCATGAGGAAGAAGACAACGAAAACGAAGGAGAAGTAAGAAACAGGTGGGGAACGTCTCTTAAGAAGGAGGACGGGACGGAGGATGAGTTTCTCGATGCCGACGAGGGTAGCTTTCCTGTATCGAGATCATCGTCGACCGGGAAGTTGAACAATGAGTGCCGTCGACCCGATAGCGAGTTGAACAAAGCATTCTGGGTAATCGAAAGACTTTCTATAGATATCTGTGTGCGCTAATCGTGTCTATCATTTTTCACTAAGAATTTGCAGACGTGTTAGGACCTTTTGGGAATTATGTTATCACTGTTATCAGGCTTGAGGGAGGAATCAGGCTCGAAATAATAATGTGCGAGTAAAAGCGGGCATTGGCTGCTGCACGCGTGGCGGCGGCAAAAGATGCTTGAGACGCTTGAGATCCGTAGATGCGTAGATGCGTAGATGCGTAGAGGCGAGGTTGTGCGCTGCTCGCGTTGGTGCCGTGTGCCATGTGCCGTGTGCCTTGGGCGGTCCAAGTGCTGCTTCGCCCAAAATATCAATCTCTGACTCGTTCGCAATATCACCCTACGCATCCTCGTTTTACATTTTTACAAATTACACGTCTCTCCAAAAAGTAGCGACCTTAATGTTTCTTATTCTTGTGAATTTTTATACAACTGCCAATGCAACGAGCTGCGCTCCCAATTGCCGTGCGACTTTTTAAAAGAGAGATAGCTCTATTCACGTGTTTCTTCGTGATATCGAATTACCACCCTGAGCCAAAATTCTTGGCAATTTCCAGCATGCGAAGTAAACAGGGACGATATTTTTCTCAGTGCACAAACGCAAGCATTAAAGACACGTCGTATGATTGTGAGACACGCCTTGGAATAACTTGCTGGAATTCCAATGTTTCGGAAGCAGAGAGATAGCTGAAGTTCGATTGAACACCGACGCCCAACTGCAGCTGGATGCTCAACTTTCTAACGTTCGTTTTGTTTACTATGAATTTACACGGGATGGACTTGCCTCGCTTCCTCCGGAACGCTCGAACGTTATTGCGACATGTCATTAAGCAAAACGGGTTCGGGTTCCTCGGGTTCGCGTTTTTCGATCCGTTTCTATCCGTCCCGCGTAAATACTTTATTGGTGAGGTGCGAAAAATTCCGAGAGCCTGTCTTCCCCACAACCAATTCTCTATTTCTTAATGCTATTTTTCGAAAGCTCCGTCGACGATTCTTCAGCGAAGCAGGAACCACCTGTTTGGCAACCGGTCAAGCAATCGCAGCATCTAGCATTAGCAGTTTGCGTCACACGGCCTGATGCCTTCCGCCCTCTTCTTTGGTGAAGTGTGAAAAACTTGCGGCTTCTTACACCGCCGCCCAATTTTAAAGCCCAGAGTTTCTCTCTCTCTCTCTCTCTCTCTCTCTCTCTCTCTCTCTCTCTCTCTCTCTATCTCTATCTATCATCTCGTTCTTGCCTCTCGCATAAGCTGAAGGAGTTTACTGCGCGCGGTGACACAAAAATAGAAAGGAAGATCTTAGCATTTTCACATAAGGCTTTCAACTTTCAAACTTTCAAAAGTGTCAAACAATGCATTCCAATGCTCGTGTGTCGCTGATATGTTCCTGCTGATGAGGCCTTCCAAAAAAAAAGGTCTCTTGCCCAGAGAATAAAAGCGAGCCCTCGCAGGACACAGGATCCAAGCGGTTGCCACGTGTCGTCTGTCTCTTTGAGCATATTGAACAGGATGCGCGGGTGTCTATCTAATTCTTCCTTCTGGCGTCCGTACGAGTCGACGGAGGAGACCGAAGGCGAAGAGTATCCGATCGGCGCGAAGCAGGAGGCCTAACCGTGAATGGAACTGAATCACCAAAAATAACTTGGAACGATTAGAATTTGTGCTGCGTGCTGTGTGCTCCGTGCGTTTCGCGAAAGATATCACGAAGGTATAGGCATATAAAAGTTGCACCCGGCACACTGCACTGGTTAGGAAGGAGGGGGCGCGTGTTTCTGGAGTCGTCGGGATGCCGAAAATAGCATCCCGATATGACGCCCAGGGATCCGATCCTAGATTTCAGTCAGTTCGCAAACTCGAAAGGGACGCGGCGGTTCGAAGCTCCTATTTTTTGAGACTTCCTTACGTTCAGTAATTTTCGCATTTTCGCACTTTCGCACTTTCGCACTTTTGCACCCGTAAAATACATTCGCGCGGCAATTTCTCTTATAGTCCAAGACAATGGCGGATGTAGACAGTGTAGTGTACACGACCACCGAACGTAAAGTTCGCAAAGTGAAGAAGACCACCAAACGTAGGGAGAGTCACGACCAGAATGCCGAAGTTACCATCACGGAGGTCGACAGCACCCAGAACAACCACAACGCCATCGAAGAGTATGTGCTGGCTGAAGATAAACCGGCGTCTCTTCTCTTCTCTCTCTCTCTCTCTCTCTCTCTCTCTCTCTCTCTCTCTCCCTCGCCGTCATCCTCATTGTCTCCCGCCCCACCTCGTTCCAACTCTTTATTTTATCCGTCCAATGGTCCAATGGCCTCTCCTCGCTACCCTTTTATACCTTGGGTGCCAACTTTGTGCTTGCGAATAAACGCGTCGACTGGCGAAAATTGAGCAACTCATATTTGAGAATTGTATGTTGATCGATTATCTTCGATGGAGGAGGTCTCCGTCGATCGTTTCCCACCCTCCCCTCTCCTCCCCACACTCTTCTCATACTTGTACATATTTACCTCAATTTCATTCTCAAAACAATAAGGTTTTCATAGACACACCTTTTAATGAGCAAAGCCAAGAATTATGAGAAAATGAAGGAAACGGTTGCATTTAAAATCGACTCTCGAACAATTCCCAATATGTGGCACTCCAGGTATACTCCATCTGTATAGCAGTAGCGAGTCTATCCACTCGATACTCGTCAATTTCACGAAATTACTAAGTTTATTAGAGTCACGAATGTATCGAACGCATACATATACTCAGCCAGCACATACAACATCATTCACTCAAGGTACATATTTCATTAAGAGCGTAAAGAAGGCAAGGACTCAGTGCACTCAGGAGGGAGCGTGACACGTGTTTTTTTTTAGAGAATGCGTGAACCAGAAAACCAGTGCACGACTTGCATAGCGTATATGCACTTGTTGCAGCAAAGAGAAAATTTCATGTTTTTCTGCATCTCCTTTACACTTTATCTGGCTCTCTCTCTCTCTCTCTCTCTCTCTCTCTCTCTCTTTCGATCTATCTAGCTACGCTATACCTTTCTGCCAATGAGCAAGCCCAAGTCAGTGTTCCAATTAGTCTGGCTGACGATGTCGCGTATTTCTGTTTCAGTTGATTTTCAGCGGAGAATACACGAAGGCAATGAACAAGGACTGGCACAGTGGACACTTTTGCTGTTGGCAATGCGACGAGTCGCTAACTGGTCAACGCTACGTCCTCAGAGATGAACATCCATATTGCATCAAGTGTTACGAGAGTGTCTTCGCGAATGCATGCGAGGAGTGCAATAAGATCATCGGCATTGATTCGAAAGTGAGTAACAAGTGAACCTACGACGATTTTAAGCAACAGCTTGTAGGATAAAAGTTCAAGTTGGCCAAGTCAGCCAAGTCGGTCACTTCTAAAAATAGCCCGACCATATTAGCGGGGCCTTCGTAACAGCCTCTTGAACCGTATTCGCGGATTCGCGGATTCGCGGATTCGCGGATTCGCGGATTCGCGGATTCACGTCCTATCATTAACGATTTACGCACTTTGCTACGCTGGTTCATGAGTTCCCGCGCTCTTGGCACGCTTCTAGATTCTCTCCATTACGTTCGTCTAAATGCATTCTCGTATCTTTAACGTCGATCTTAACTTAAGGTCGATCCCTTGAGAGCGATCGACTATTATGGAAAGAAACTAAAATTCGACGCTTCTTTTATTTAGGATCTCTCGTACAAGGATAAGCACTGGCACGAGGCTTGCTTCCTCTGTAACAAGTGCAGAGTCTCCCTGGTGGACAAGCAATTCGGAAGTAAGCTCGACAAGATCTACTGCGGCAACTGTTACGACGCTCAGTTTGCCAGCCGCTGCGACGGCTGCGGCGAAATCTTTCGTGCTGGTAGGTTCCAAACTCTAAACTTTTCATTAAAGAGTATAAATACGAAGTTGCACCTAGGATTGTACAACTGTGATAAGGACGAACCTATGATAAGGATGTGGCCAGGTGACGGACTTTATTTTTACAAGCGGAGCTGACTATAGATATCTCTAAGATGTATTTTTACACGAACGTTTTCGACTAAGCCCTAATCGCGCGATAGTATGAAAGCGAGAGGGTATTAGAGTATACGAAAAGGAGGCCGCGTCGGGTAGCAGCGATAAATGGATCTCGCTTCGGTCGCCTCTTGTTAAGGTAAGCGAGTCAAGGTCGCGATGCCAGACACTCGACAATTACCGCCCACTCTCTGATTCCAAGTCGGATTGCAGCTTTTCGAGAATTGGCATTTGCTTTGGTGCCATTTCAAAGTCGCACGATTCTCTGGTCCTTCAGCCCAGAATTTAAAAAAATAAACATTAAACTGCAAGCTTTCATTTATTAGCGCTGCTCTTAAGCTATTCTAAGGGTGCACGTGTTACCCGAGTGATGACGTCAGAAGGGAGAAAAGCTTTACAACCATCTTTCCCCTTCGATTTCCATTGATGCGTCAAAGTATTCGATCAGCCGCTTCGACATATGGGAAAGAAGCCGGATCACCTTGATTCGAAATTCACAAAAGCCTTGCTTTCGAGATTGCCACTCACGAAGAGTCAGTTCTTTTAATAACCATTAATAACCATTAATAACCTTAAAATGACCATTGGGCCTTCACTGTATCTGCCTGATTTCCCAAGATTTTTTTTTATTTTTATTTTTGGACACTCTGTACACCTAAACGAAGATGACCTTGGTTCCCGAGCACGTAAGGAGGGTGGCTCAGCTAATATCTTGAGGAACAATGGAAAACGAAGGAGATTGATTTTTGTTAAGTTTTTCTCCCCTCCGACGTCATCACTCCATCTACGTGTGCGCTCGCACATAGAGTCGCTGAACACAGCCTTAAAAGCAGAACCGAAGGTAGAAAAATGAAATAGAAAGAATTATTATAGAACATTGAAGCGCGTAGAATGACAGTCACGTAAGAAATTTCGTTTGTTCATTCAAAGTACAAATTCGAATCCAAACAAGTGGAATAAAATGAAAGCATCGCCGTCCACGAATTGAACATTCACTTGGCGACACTATAGGCCTACACTTCGCACCTGTCCATCCATACAGAAGCGACGAGGTGTGCGTGTTGCTCGCGCACGTTACGAGAAAGAGAGAGAGAGAGAGAGAGAGAGAGAGAGAGAGAGAGAGAGAGAGAGAGACAACTAGGGATAGCGTGAGAAATTAATTAAATATAGGCTGACAATTACGTACATGCCGGTTCCGAGTTTTTAATCCACGCGCAAAAGATTTGTGAATCCCAAGGGGAAGTGAGGCAGTCCAGTCTACTTCATTAAGGTCAATCGCATAATGGGTGCTGAACGTCGAGCGCTGGAAGATGGAAGATGAAAGATGAAAGATGAAAGATGAAAGATAGAAGATGGTAGGGGGCACGGGGCACGGGGCACGGGGCACGGGGCAGGATGGCCCACGCGTTATGCGTCCATCGCCCACGTTTTCGATAGCTCAGCGGCTTACCTCAGCTACCAGATTTCTCATCCGAGCGTGACGTGTACTACATGTGTACTCGGAACAATAAGAAGAATAACGGCAGCTCGGCCCGCAAATTTACAGAATACTTGGGAGCGCACTCCGCGCCTAGACTTACACCCTTTCCTAGCCATTTTAATTTCCCTCTTTGTAAAATGGCCACTTTTCCGTTTCGCCATGACTCAGTAACTTTCTCAAAGTGTGCTTACTTCGTATGTCGTTTACGGAAAAAGCAGAAGCTGGAGGATTAACATGTCGCTGCGTGTGCCTCACGCGAGGTTAAGCTAGATCGGAGGAAACTTTTGGCCGTCCCGAAGAGTCATACTCAATAAAGAGCCTACGCTAACAAGTTGTAAGACGGGAACATTTAACGAAATTAATTTCTTGCAGCCCGAGATGTGGGTCATGCGGTTTAACTGCGAAGGTCATAGATCCAAGATTGCGGGGATGGATTTAGCACTCTCCCTAGCCTGAAGGATCACTGTCTTCCATGGTAGACTTTCACTGCGTCTCGATCGGCGGCAGGAAATAGGCCAGCGATTTTTTATTTTCGAGTCTCGATCCCCGATTCGGGAGATTTCGCCGAAATTTGTCTGCAGTCAGGTGAAAATTGTCCCTCCGGAGATGAGGAGGAGTAGGAGGAGAGAGAGAGAGAGAGAGAGAGAGAGAGAGAGAGAATGCTTCTTCTTCCGGTGACACAATGACAGTTCCTATGACTATAGAGCAAGCAAGCGACTTATCACCATATAATATTGTATGTTATATTGCGCCTGCTCGCTGCTCGTTCCTCGTTGCTGTTCAGTTGAACATTGAGGCTCAGTAGCTCGGAAGCCTTCGTGCCAATCGCGTCTGGCACCGATACCGATTCCCTTTATACTTTTGCGTTCGATTCTTTCTTAAACTCAACAGACTATTCGCTTCTGATCGATTGTCAAACTGACACGTGGTAAAGGATCCCTCGACGCATCAACGAGCCTTTTAATTGTTCGATCATTGCCACTTGAACGTAGATCTAGGCGGATCCCTCTGGAAGGGCGCAACATTTTTCATAGTTTCGTGAGAATCTTATTTGCTAATCTTTTCAAATAAAGCGTCCATCTTTGCAGCTGCATTGCCGTTCGCCCTGTAGACTCGAAGAGCGCTAATTTCAATTGACTTTCCTTGAGAGACACCGGAGCCAGCGCAGGAGAGACAGCGCAACTTAACAAACTAACAAGTACGCGAGAAGTTTATCATCGGTGTTTATCCTCATTTTATCGGGCAGATATAGATGCTACCTTTAATCTTGACGTTGGCCAATTAATATAGTCCGTTCGCTTATCGCGAATATTGAGCACACGGCAGCTCGATCGATTGGGTTTGGTCGTTTGGTCGTTTGGTCGTTTGGTCGTTTGGTCGTTCGGGTTTTACTGAGGTTACTTGATTATCGCTTGAGACGCAACCTGGACGCGTTTTAAAGAGTTTCGAGCTCGCAATAAACTGGCAGCGCGATTGTCTGCTGCGAGATACAGTGGTAGATACAGTGGCAAGTGACGTGTTCTTGAAGAATATACGCTCGGTTGATCGTTCATTGGTCGCAGAATATATACGTCGCAGTACGGGAAATGTAAACCGATTCTATCCTGATATGTGACGAGCGCCGCGCGTTCGATGCGCCACTCGCCAAGTGAAAAACAGTGCGGATCAAAGTCAATCGGAATCTCCCGTCACTTTGATAACCCGACTTTTGAGAGGCGCGACCGTCACTTCGGTCTTCGAGGTGCTTGAAGGCGACCTTCCAGCCTTCCTTTCCTCCGGATTTCCTCCGGATTTCATTCAGATTTCATTCAGATTTCATTCTCCTAATTTGACAGTTTTCATTCAAGTGGCAAACCGCGATCGATTAATCAAAATGCTCCGGTGTACTTAGTTTATGCGTTTTAACATAAAGTGGTGTGTTGAACGACGGCAGCGAGAATCGGATTGGACATTGTTTGTCGTGCCAATTGTGACGAACCTTTGAACTTCTATTCTCGAATAGAAGGACCGCCTGTCGCCACACACATTAAATTCAGTTTCGATCGTAAAAGATGGCGACGGACGCTCTGAGCGATCGGTTGGCAAACCGGCTGAATCTTCAGACGAAGACTGTCGGCGAGGAGAGGATCAAAAGAGCTAAAGAGAAGGACGAGGACGTCGCGATATTCAGTATGTTTCCAATGGAGGGCGATTCGAAGTTTCGATGTTGCCTCGGCAAAGAGTGCTTATTGGGCGATCCGAAAATGGCTGAACCAGGTGAATCGATGGTGCATCTGTTCTTATTTTTATCCTCCCCCCGTCCCCAACATCTCCATCCTTATTGCCTCAAGATCAGACGTGCGCGCAGCCATCCAGATCTGGGCCGAGATAGAGCGCGAAACCACTAACCTACTGACTCCGGATGAGCGCATTCGTCCTGATGCATTGACAGAGTCACGTATCCTTATGTGGATAGGATCGTTACCATTTGCGAGTATAGCGAGTATACCGAGCATAGCGAGCATAGCGACCCGTAAGCTCCCTAAGCTCGCTAAGCTCGCTAAGCTCGCTAAACTCGCCAACCGCGTGACGGCCTGTCAGTGGCGTCAATCTCCTCGTCACACCATCCTTCGATATTAATATTCTCCAATGTCTTGAAGTATAAATGATTTGGCCTAATGGCCACGCGAATCACGAACGTTCACGTAGGTCAAGACGCACATTACTTGAAGTTTTCTTGTATATTTAGATGTGACTCATGTCGACTCCAGCGGCGTAAACTTTCATGGCTGCAGGCCATTCCGCGCGCCACTGCACGCCGGTTGCCGATTTCACGTTCCATCGACAGCCGCGACCATCTATGCCTCTTCGCATTTATCCATCGCATCCATCGTGGCACGGCTATCCGTCAATATTCCGCTTATTCTCGAGATTCGTAGGATCGATCCATCGATCGATCGATCGATCGATCGTTACTCGAGTCGCGTCAGTCTTAAGTTATACATGTATACAGCATGCGAGTCATTTTTTTTGCCGCAATACATTAAGTTATTGCTACACCGAGACCTTGGCCCATCCAACAGTTTATACATATACGGAGGTAGCTTGGACCTCGTGACGTCACTCCGTCTCTCTTGAGTCACACGAGCGGGCGTAAGAACCATCTGCGTGCGCGAGAAAGAGACGCTTGCCGATAAAAATCCCTACGAAAAGAACAACAACTAACAGATAGTCTCCTCATTCCTGATCCTTCTCCTTCTCCTTCTCCGTCGTTTCGTAGCAACTTTTAAGCCGATCTTTTCATTAGATCATCCTTCGGAATGGCGAGTGCGCAGTCATGCACCAAAATAGCCAGTGACATAACCGAAAGTAATCATAAGGCAATTCCCCAAAGAGGGGCTCACCGCTTTCGCATAGTCAGACGTAACCAGTCAGTCTTAAGAGTTTCTAGGCAAATTTTCCTTACCGGCTTATTAATTGTACTTTCGGGCCATCAGCTGCTCAAAGCTGCTCACACTTGAATTTCCCACGAGTTCCCAGAGTTAGTTCCGAGCGTGCGCAGAGTAACACACGGCGGTGCTCTTCGCTATTTCGGCCACCCGCTTTCAGTCGGCCGCGTCCACCTAGTGCACGTAGTCCGCGAGATCATCAATTTACTTTACTATCTCGTGCTAAATAGTCGTGCGTCCTGCTGATCGGACTTTGCGAACGCACATCTAATCGCCTTCTCGGCGCATGACGTATTCGATTAGCATAACCCGTTAATGGAGAGCGACGTCCCACGTTTCAGCTGCTCCTAACATGGGAATTTCTTAGAATTTCATGACAATGCCAAATCGTCGAGCCATGCAATATCTAATATTTCACATACTTCTTTTCTAGATGCGTTTGATGCGGATCCAAAAAAAAAAATTTCACATTTATTTATGGTCGCAAAGTGAATTTTTACAAAACGGTTTTATACGCTTAAATGTTAGAGTATTAAAATATAGACGTTTTGATGCCGCATTGCGGATTCTACCCATGAATCATCGCCTCATCCAGTTGCGCGAATCACGAATTTTCAGCCAGTACCGAATGGTACGAGACTCGCTCCTTTTCTAGAAGCAATGGCCTAGGCTGGAAGGAGAGGAAGACAAGGATGCGATCGATTTGCTTTCGAATGACAATACTTATCTTTAGAAAAGTTTGGCAAAAGTTGTAAGAAGAGCCCATATTGTGGGTATTGCATGGGCTAAATTATACTAAATGTTAAAGGAAGACGCAAGAGGAAGTTAAGGAATCAGAAGCACTGGAATGTGTCTTTATTTGTCGGCAGGTACCAAGAAGATGGAGTACAAGACGAGACAGTGGCACGAGAAGTGCTTCTGCTGTGTCGTTTGCAAGAATCCCATCGGAACGAAGAGCTTCATTCCGCGCGAACAGGAAATTTATTGCGCCGGATGTTACGAAGACAAGTTCGCAACCCGCTGCGTCAAGTGCAATAAGGTAGGAAGGAGCGACGTGGAGGTTGCTCATGTTGCTCCGACATAACGAGCAGTTGGACCATGAGCCATCTTTATATTTCCAGATCATCACCAGTGGCGGCGTCACTTACAAAAACGAGCCCTGGCACAGAGATTGCTTCACCTGCAGCAACTGCAGCACCTCCTTGGCTGGTCAACGATTTACCTCTCGCGACGAGAAGCCCTACTGCGCCGACTGCTTCGGGGAGCTCTTCGCCAAGAGGTGCACCGCCTGCACCAAGCCGATCACCGGTGGGTCTTCCCTTTTGCATCTAATCGACTCTACACTCTACACTCTACACTCCCAAAGACTCACGTTACCCCTTACGTTACAATTGACTTTCGAGTCAATTTTCTGGCAGGATTCTAAAACTGAAGATTTACGATGCTCTAGGTATTGGCGGCACGCGATTCATATCCTTCGAGGATAGACACTGGCACAATGATTGCTTTATCTGCGCCGGATGCAGGACTTCCTTGGTTGGTCGTGGCTTCATTACGGACGGCGATGACATCATTTGTCCCGAGTGCGCTAAGCAGAAGCTCATGTAAGAAGAAGGAAGGATGGAAGGATGGAAGGATCAGAGGTACTTGGCTGGAGCAATGCAGCCTCAAGCCCAGGATCACCACGTATCCTCGCTACCGTTTTGTGCCCTTTGAGATACGCCTTTGTCACCGCCAACCCTCGTCCTCCTCCTCGTCCCTCTTCAGTCGACTACTTAAACGAAGGACACCATCATTCACATCAGACCTACGAAAATTGCGAGGAGACACGCTTACCTGCATCCAAGTGTTGTAACGAAAATTTTAATTCTTCTTTAATCTCATATTAGATCGAACGCCGATCTGTATCCGAGCAGCTTTCTAGGAGTTACTTGCAATTTAACAATCAACGGCAGAGTCTACGGTATAAAGTGTAACTGTCACTTGTATTGCAATTAGTTATTATCTGTGCGACATTACGAATTCTAACAAATAATAATGTGATTCATCGCCTGTCGGGTGCGATACTCCTCAAAGTCTCGTCGTAAAGCGTCAGAGTCGATCGAAACAACACGAATGCCTTATAGATCATACCTCAAGAATCAATAACTCGGCACTGACCGTTTCGCGAGAATATTCGTTGCGACAGCGCGTTGTGACGTTAGTCGGTACGCGAATAAAATGTGTTGGCTTTTTTTTTTTTTTTTTTTTGATAGTTTGAAGACACTGAATTAAGCGACTAGCAAGGTACACGTGGTTCTTCATAAAATTTATGTTACAAACTACGCATGCGCATTGGTTCGCACTGAAATATATTGTATTTGTCTCTTTTTTAACATATATTTTAGTAATTTGACGAACTACCGCGTGTAAATAGCTAAGGCTTTCCTTGCTTTCCATCTGTCAAAAAGAAAAACAAATTTTACCCATGGATTGACTATGGTATATATTTAAACAAAGTTCTATATGCATATATTTTATTTAACTGATTCTCTCTCTCTCTCTCTCTCTCCTTCTCTTTCTCTGTTTTATTCTCTCTCTCACTCGCATCTTGCCCTCTCGATCTGTTTCTTATGTTCTTCTCTCTATTGGTCTGTAATCAGTAAAGTACATGTACCGGCGTCAATTATGGGATAACTCATTCAGAGATGCGGTATTGGCATGGTCTTGTACCTACCAACTGTCGATCGTGCGATTCGACGGGATCTTCTAGAATTGCCGCTATTTATAGAAGAGTAATAGAGTCATCTTCATAGTCGCTCGCACGAATCATGATTTACACTCTTTTTTTTTAACATATATTTACGCACACGTACATACACACACATGAAACCATACATGAGCACACGCGGACTTACACTTACACTTACACTTACACTTACACTTACACTTACACCTACACCTACACCTACACCTACACACCAACACTCGCACTCGCACTTGCACTTACACACTTACACTTACCCACGCGAGCATTCGCCGCGCGCCCAAATAACACGCATAAGAGACGCTACACAAACACAAAACATAGGGGACAAAAAGAGTGCATACGACAAACTATCTGTGGCCTTATTCACACAAATCACACGAGACACGTGATTAATTAATGATATAAGACATGATGTTATCCAATGCGCTAAAAATGAAAAATATATAACGCAATTAGGAAAAAAAAAAAGAAGCAATTAATATGAAGAAACCTTAATATTATCGTGACCAATAAATTACATCCGCTTTATATTCTTACAAACACTTACATACTAATCGTTTTAAATAGTACACGATATATTGAACACATTCTGTATTGAATCTATCTTGTTATTATATATTGTACAATTGATAAAGGAATAAATGTAATTATTTACAACGAATGTTGTGTTTGAAGTTGGTATAAATATTGTGACGTGATTTTTCGATTGACAGTCCCAAGGCGGCTCCGGCTACCGATACGGATAACGTTCTCGATTTCTTGTTCCCTTCCGGTCGCCACCCTGCTCAGAAGCTGCGCTCTCGGGTTGATTTGTATAGTTATGCCAATGCAATGTATAAGGATCTCGACCAATCAGAATTATTAGTTCTCAAATTTGACTATTTTGTCAAAGCAGTCTGTCTCGGGACACCGACCGAGGTGTCACGTGCTACCTCGCGCTCCCGTGCTATCTGTTTATAGTTTTTCTAGCCGTGTTTTCTATACGGTGTAGCAAGTTCTCGTTCGTCTAGTTCTCGCGTTGCTCTCGCGATATCCAGGCAATTCTATGAATTTCCTGTGAGTGTTCCGGAGGTGCAGTGCTGTGCCTTAGTGCAGTGCCCACCCGAGTGTCTTTTGGATGCAGTTCTCGGCCTCCACGGATCAGCTGCACCAGCTCCGGTGAGTACTCCCAATTTATTAATTGGTGAAGGGATTTCTATTTGACAGTTCAGATTCGTTCTGTTACGTTCTCGATTCGCCGCTCTCTGTCTCTCGCACTATTTGCCTGACTCTTACTCCGACCCTCTCGAGCTCAACCTAGCAGCATGAGCGGCCACGCATTTCCGTTCGTGCATCCAGTTGCGTTTGCTGATTTTACGCGACCCCAAAAATCAAGAGGATCCGTTAAGTTATCGTCTCTTCTGATAGGTTCCGTTAGAGCTCTCATTTTGGCGGAGTTGAGCCTTGCGGATGCATGAGCGAAGGATGGACGGCCGAAGGTAACGTAGGTCGGTTCTCGAAGATAGTTCTTTCTCGGATGTTTTGCTATCGGTGTCGAGTTAAGGAAAAGAATTACGTTACAATATTTAAAAGGCAGCTGCAGCTGCATCTTCCAGAAGAATATACTTACATTTTCATCCATTGTTCCCAAGTATCGAACAGGCGATTTTACGAGGGGACATCCGCCGGGTCGCATAGTGTTTTATACTTGATCGTAATCTCGCCTCTCACGCTGCACTATCATACACTATTGGAAAATGGAAGGAGCTTCGACCTCGAGAGCCCAACTTCCATGAAGCTCCACTTCCTCCACATAGGATTTCATCCGATTTTACCGATGTTGCCACGTGCCTTCTTCGCCACCGGTCCTCTACTTTATCACGATTCATCCTCCCGAAAGATGGACTTTGGCAGCCCTACTTGACGGAGGCTGGAGATAGTATTCTACGGACAATTGTATCGGGAAAAATTAGAACCCGAACGTGTGAAAATTCCGAAAAATCAGAACCTATACAAGCACGAAAGAGGTGATCGGAGATGAATGGACGGATTCCATCCATTACTGACCGTTAAAAACTCATAAAATTGATTCGCACTATTAGTCAATCAGGGTTAATAATATTCCTAATTAATAATATGCTGATGCCGAAACTTAATAAATATTGTTTTATTCAATAGAAATCATGTGTTGTATTATATACATCAGTGTCTAACAGTGCAAATACAAACAGAAACGACAGACGTCAAATGCCATTCTTCGTGATTGATCGTGAGATTCAAATACTCGTGATAAAAGGGGAAAGCTTATTATTAATTATTTATATAATTTCGATGTACGTATGTCTTGAATGATAAAGGTAGGTAGAAATGGAAGAGTTTAACAATTTTAAACGTTAGATATTTAAGTATGAACCTCGAAAAAGGGTTGTGCTATGATAAGATAGTGTATAAATAATAAGCAGCGTACGAATTTAAAGCGATAAAGAAGAATGACGAATGGCAGTGAGCGCGGCTTGCTGTATCTAGAGGGAAACGAAGAGGAGCAACCGCGAGAGGCTGGGGACGAAGCAGCCTGAAACAAGGTTCATATTAACGGTGCGCATTCATTCTATAGCTCGCTCTTCGCCGATAGAAGGTATCTTGCCCTTGGACGGCAGCGTCTTAACGCCGATTCTAGTCTCATCGTAAGTTGTATCAGCAGCAACTCGATCGCCATATTTATTATGAATGTATAACAGTATTAAGCGGGTGCGACTGTGTCGACGAACTCGAAATAGTCTTCTTTCCAAGCACGTTCCTTTCGGGACTCGGACTGGGACTAGAACTGGGACTTGGCGATGAACTCGGTGATCTTGAATTACTCGAACTTCTCCTATCACGACGTCTCTGCTCAATAAGGTTCTTCTGCGACCACAATGGGCCTCGCACTACCTTCAAGATTGTCTCGAGCTCGTAGGCCTCGTCCTTCAATCTGTTATAACGGTCGACGTCCAGACCGACTTTTTTTGCCTTCTTATGTAGAACGAGGAGATGACGCCTATCAAGGACGTCTGGCAGCATGTACTCCTAAAAGTGAAGACGATCGAATGGGTTTAGTTAAGTGTCTCGCTACGGGACGGTAAACGCCGCTGCGATTTATTAAAAGTTCCCACCTGTCTCGTTAGAAGAAAGTAAATGTAGCAACCCATGGCTGTGCCATAAGTCACGAAGTATGTGACGGGCTCCATGATGTCCCAGGAATATTCCCACCAGGTGAGTCTGGCTAAAACACCAAACTGTACGGACATCATGACAAGCCCAGCCCACGTTGACAAATTGGCACGTCTCGCAGCAGTGGTTTCTAGTTCCAAGCGTTTCTGCAAATTCAAAAACATTTTTTCATGACAGACACGATTTTTACTTAAGGCTCATAGACGCGATGCACGAAAAACGGGAAGAGCACTCTAAGAATATGACGATCCTACTGGAACCGATCAACTGACCAATACTATACTTTTTGAACTCACTTGCTCGAGAGGCTCCAACTCGAGCCTAATGTCCTCCAGTTGAGCTATGACTTGTCTCTCGAGTTCTGCGTTATGTTCTCGCACGTGCAAAGATTCGTAAAGCTGTCCTACCAAGGTCTGCACGTCCGACAACTTTTCCATATCCTCCTGAAAATGATAGAAAACCTGACGTAGCAATGTTCAAGAAAATCGTCACGGAAAATAGGGTACATTTCGCAAGACGTGAAAAGAAATGGTAGACGTAGCATAGTGTAGCACGTGTAGCACGTGATGTCTCACGAGGAATTCTAATTGATGATATATTGCGAAGTTGAGTTAAGCGAGCGACGAGCAAAGTTAAAAGTCAAGCAGAAAGGGCAGATAAAGCTGTTGGCTGTTCTTAACTCGCAGTTGGTTCTTACCATAGAGCGCGATGAATGCTGGGGCGGCGTGACCGTATAAACGTTGTCGTTGATAATCAGTTTAAAGTCGTCCTCGATCAAGGACTCTATCGTGTTACTTGCGGCTATTCTCAGTCCATCTGGATATTGAGCGATAATGTCCAACTTGAGTTGATAATGTTGAGATAATATAATATTTAGCGTTAAGCTTATTTGCGAGAAATCGATTCCAAAAGGCCGTAAATCGCCGGACACGTTGGTCTCACGAAGCACGTACTGCGCAAGTCGAAGAAATCCTGAGTCTTCTGTTCTCACCTAGGGTAGTTACCGTTGCTCGATCGATTCCTCGATCTTCTTGCTTCAGCATGGCCATGAAGTCCCCAACCGTGTGCGTAATTGGCTTCAGGGTGAAGATACATCTTTCTCTTCGAGAGGGCAACGGCACGGTAATCCTCGGGAGACCCTTGTGATAAGCCAGACTCACCTCTGAAAGATAAGGTACAATGCTTGACACATATGTAGCTCCGGAATTCGCACATTAAATTGAGATATTCAGTAGGCTTGGTTGTAATTGACTCTGACAATGAGATTTCCCGTTTAATAATGACATTGCGAATAGATTTGGACTTATTGTCAAAGTGTTCCGAGTGATGGTGGCGATGGTGGCGATGGTGGCGATTATAGTGTCGGAGGGAAAAACCATCAAGGCTCCCGTGAGAATGCTCGCGTGATGCAGCCGTAATCGAGAGCTAGGCCACAACCTGGTTAGCAGACATTGATATGAAGTAGGTATCAGAGTGTGGAGAGCAGATGGGAAGAGTAGTGGCTCGAACTGGCCGAAGATGAGAATGGAATGGCTGAGAATGTACAAAGCTGAAGCTCGTATGAACGTTAAGCAGGTCGGAACCGAGTAACAAGCTGAGAGTCAAGTCTTAGCTCGGATATAGTTAAAATAATGCGACCGTTTTTAAGGATAAAAGCAAAAATGTAAAAGAGAGTGAAACTACAGGACAAAGTAATGGGGAGGAGGTGAGGGGATTACAGGAATCATATGTCGTTCATCAGCATTAGAATTATAGACATTCGGTGCGAATAAAGCGGAGCGCCTATTTCGTTACTGATTTGCGCAATTCGTTAATCAGCTAATTTCCTCTGCGAAAATGACATTAGCCACGCGGGAGTCTCGGCCGACTTTTAAACACAATCGCTCATGTCTTCAACAATTCGAAAGTCGGCGGAAACGCGGTCGCGTGTGCCACGAATGCCAGCCACGCAATCCTCAGGTTTCCGGGCCTCGCCACCTCGTAGGAGTCGCCAATGGCAGCGAATCTTTCAATCTCGAGCGGCACAATTCTTTTAATGAAACGGCAACATCCGACAATTGGCTAGCCGTTATGTTCGCGTTAAACACGCTTGCACCTTATTCTCGGCAAGACCTGCATGGAAGGGATGGAAAGGAAGTCCTCTCGAGCGGAAACTCTCTTAGAAGAATTCAGATGTCAGTAGACAGTGGGATCTCGTTCGGTTAATAACACACTTATCGATGGTGTCTACAGAATTAACTGAACGCGTGCGCGCATCTACGACTTTTGTGCGGAAATCTGGCTCATCTAGTGCGTCGTGTCTACACGTTTGATCCTTATTTTCGGGAAAAGAGGAAAAAATAAAGCGAATAGTTCCCAGAACTCTTCTCGCTCTTGCGTTCCACATTATATTACACCATCGGCGGTCATTGTTAACGAAGAGGACACCCCCCC